AGGAGGACGGAAATGGCCATGTGACGGGAAGTTTCAGGTGCCCTGAGTTCAAGAAGGCGATGGTGGGCCAGCAATAATGAAGGTAACCCAAATAAATCTCAATCATTGTAACACAGCACAGCAACTGTTGTGGCAGTCAACAACGGAAACAAAGTGCGACGTTGCAATCATTGCAGAGCCATACCGAGTCCCTCTCGATAATGGTAACTGGGTGGCGGATAGAGCAGGAATGGCGGCCATACAAGTCATGGGCAGGTATCCCATACAACAAGTGGTGGCAAGCTCATATGAAGGTTTCGTGATCGCCAAAATCAATGGAATCTTTGTATGTAGTTGCTACGCACCCCCGAGATGGACAATTGAGCAGTTCCACCAGATGCTAGATGGGCTCACCGAAGAGCTCATTGGACGGAGACCAGTCGTCATCGCAGGAGACTTCAATGCTTGGGCAGTGGATTGGGGGAGCAGATGTACCAACGCAAGAGGGTATAGCCTGCTGGAAGCTCTGGCAAAGTTGAACGTCAGTCTGGCCAACGAAGGAACCATCAGCACCTTCCGCAAAGATGGTAGGGAATCCATTATCGACGTTACTTTCTGCAGTACGTCGCTAATGGCAAATATGAACTGGACGGTGTGCGAGGAGTACACCCATAGTGACCATCAGGCGATCCGGTACAGTATCGGCGAACGAACACCGGTGGAAATGCGGAGGACGAAAGTAAGCGAGCGGAAGTGGAAGACGAAGGCATTCAATAAGGATCTCTTCATCGAAGCTCTAAGGGTAGACAACAGCGTCCCGGGCCTAAGCGCGAATGAGTTGACCGAATTATTAGCAAGGGCATGTGACACAACTATGCCGAGAAAACTGGAGCCAACGAACAGGCGGCGTCCAGCCTACTGGTGGAACGAGGAAATTAGCACCCTCCGTGCTACTTGTCTTCTAGCCAGAAGGCGTGCTCAGAGAGCAAGAACAGAAGCAGACAGAGAGGAGCGCAGGGTGGTGTTCCGAGAGGCCAGGGCTGCACTGAAACGAAAGATAAAGCTGAGCAAGTCAAATAGTTTCAAGGAGTTGTGCCGCGATGCCGATGCCAACCCCTGGGGCAACGCATACCGAGTTGCGATGGCGAAGATCAGAGGCCCAACGATGCCGGTTGAAATGTGTCACAACAAGCTGAAAGTCATCGTTGAGGGACTTTTCCCACAGCATGACCCAACGAACTGGCCACCTACACCATATGGCGAGGTAGATGAAGACAACGTTGAACAAGTCTCCAACGAGGAACTCATAGCAGCAGCGAAAGGGTTGAAAGCGAATAAAGCTCCCGGCCCGGATGGAATTCCCAACGTGGCGTTGAAGGCGGCGATCCAGACGTTCCCGGACATGTTCAGGATGGTGCTGCAGAAATGTCTGGACGATGGTCAGTTCCCTGATAGGTGGAAGGTACAAAAGCTTGTGCTGTTGCCGAAGCCCGGAAAACCGCCGGGGGATCCTGCATCGTATAGGCCAATATGCTTGCTGGATACTGTAGGAAAGCTCTTAGAGAGGATCATCCTCAACAGACTGACGAAATGCACGGAGAGTGAACACGGATTGTCGGAGAGACAGTTTGGATTCCGGAAAGGGAGATCGACGGTGGATGCAATTCGGACAGTGATTGACAGAGCCGAGAAAGCTTCCAAACAGAAGCGGAGAGGAAATCGATACTGCGCCGTGATTACGATCGATGTCAAGAATGCATTCAATAGCGCCAGCTGGGAGGCCATCGCCAAGGCGCTCCATAGAATGAGGGTTCCAGGCTACCTCTGCAGGATTCTAAGTAGTTATTTCCAGAACCGGGTCCTTGTCTACGTGACAGACACGGGGCAGAAATCGCTTAGAATCACGGCGGGGGTTCCCCAAGGCTCCATTCTAGGTCCCACGCTGTGGAACGGAATGTACAATGGCGTGCTGACGCTCAAGCTGCCCAAAGGAGTTGAGATCGTTGGCTTTGCGGACGATGTCGTCTTGACGGTAACCGGTGAGACGCTGGAAGAAGTGGAAATGTTGGCGGCTGAGGCGATAGATACGATTGGTAACTGGATGCAAGGAGCGAAGCTGCAGATAGCCCACCACAAAACAGAAGTGATGTTGGTCAGTAACTGCAAAGCAGTGCAGCGGGCAGAAATTACCGTTGGAGAGCACACCATTGCTTCGAAGCGCATGCTTAAGTATCTGGGAGTGATGATCGACGACCGGCTAAACTTTAATAGCCACATCGAATATGCTTGCGAGAAGGCGACGAAGGTCATCAACGCAATAGCCAGAATCATGCCGAACAATTCTGGTCCAAGCAGCAGCAAGAGACGTCTTCTGGCTAGTGTTTCCTCATCAATACTAAGGTACGGAGGTCCAGCCTGGATTGAAGCGCTGAAAACGAAGCAGAACCAAAGGAAATTGAGCAGTACGTTCCGGCTCATGGCCATGCGAGTCGTGAGTGCGTACAGAACCATTTCGATGGAGGCAGTATGCGTTATCGCCGGTATGATCCCAATCGGCATCACCTTGGCGGAGGACTACGAGTGCTATATGACGAGAGAAACCAGAGGAGTACGAAAAATGGTGAGAACGGAGTCGATGGCTAAGTGGCAGCAGGAGTGGGATGCAGCAGAGAACGGTAGATGGACACACAGGCTAATACCGACTCTTTCGACCTGGGTGAACAGGAAGCATGGAGAAGCCAACTTCCACTTGACGCAGTTCCTGTCTGGTCATGGCTGCTTCAGGAAGTACCTGCATCGGTTCGGACACACAACGTCACCCTTCTGTCCGGAGTGTGGGAATGTGGAAGAATCACCAGAGCACGTGGTTTTCGAATGTCCTAGATTTGATGATGTGCGAGAGGATATGCTCGCCCTTAGCACGGAGAATGTCGTCGAAGAAATGTGTCGAGAGGAGGGCACCTTTAACGCCGTCAGCAGAGCAGTAACGCAGATCATGTCAGCGCTGCAGCGAAAATGGCTCACAAATTGGAGAGACGATCAGCGAACTGGAAGCGCCAATTAGCTGAGGTAAAGTGAGGTGCGTAATGCACGGCCCCCTCCGAAGTAATGCGACAAGTAGTTCCGGGGGAAAAGGGCAAGGCGTCTAAGGAGGTTTTAGTGCGGTAAGAATCCCACACACCGTGTCACCGCGACTGTGCGCCCAGTCGTCAAGCGGTCGCACGATGGCCTTTTTGAAGGTTTCCTCCTTGCCAAAAAAAAAAAAAAAAACACACAGACATGTTCCGATCTCGTCGAGCTGAGTCGAATGGTATATGACACTCGGCCCTCCGGGCCTCGGATCGATAGTCGGTTTTTCAAGTGATATCTATACCCTTCTTTGTAAGAAGGGTAAAAGGTTGCCGACTGGACTCGAAACAACGGACGTTGCGACTATCAGACCTGTATTTTCTCCACTGCTCTGTCCATGCTCCTGAATATAGATAGCCTAAAAGCAAACATGAAGCGCTCATTTTCTCGCATGCTCGACTTCGTATGCTTTTTCTGCTGGAGAGATTCGAGACAAGTGTGTGCGTCGTTCTACAATGTTCTACAATGTGCGTCGTTCTACAAGCTTACTGGTATAGTCGAAAGTGTAGATGGAACACGAAATAAAAAAAGACAAAAAACCATTACATCGCCTGCATGGTCAATTTCTAACATTCGTTGCGATGTTCATGAACAGAGGTTGATAGGAAACGGAACTAACGTTCATTGTAATAGATTTTTGGTTTGCGTGCACATTTCCTTCGCAGTGTTCTTGTCACGCACGTACTCCAGATCAGAATCTGCGATGTACGCAACTATAAGAGCATTCGCCTTTTCGTCCTTTTCTTGAAAAGCTTTCCTCTGCGCATCGTCAGCTGGTACATCCTTCGTGATCATTTCCTTCACGCCGTGAGCCGACAACTGCGTTTCGACCCGGAACCTCAACACGTCGTATCCTTCACCAGCAAACTGGACTATTCCTACTTCCGCCGCGCTTGACATCTTCACTCCCGTCTTCTCCGTAATTCCGTAACGAACTTCTGGATTCTTCAAATCAATTAGCTTCAACTTCAGAGGCCGGACGTAACTGGGCCCATAACCTCTAGAGAAAGACGTGTGCTCAGTTAGGAAGTCTGGTTTAATACTACATAAAGTTTTCAGTTGTTGATAACGGGTAAACAAGTTCTTAACTACAGAAATCAACTGCTCCTTCGATCCAACTCTTCAGTTCCAGATACTCCCAGATGTTTCATCTTGTTTTCAAAATATCACTGCTTTTGGTTCACCCTCAACGCTTGTCTAATAGACTGATGCAAAATTCGACTTTTTCGCTCCACAGTGCTTAAATGCTTTCAAATCGGGTTCTGAGTAGCCTCCCAAAGTTACAACTCATTTGGTTAGAAACAGGCTTCGCACAAGCTATTTGAAGTTTACATGTAAATTACTATGGGAAATCTCAACTTTTTGTTCATTGCCTTCTAGTTTTTTTCCCATATTGAGCTGCGAAACAGTCTTCAGCAAAGTTGTAGCTGGGAAAATTTCCTACAAGTAAAGTCGAAAGCAGACCGATATGGCGAATTACTGGATAGACATGAACAAAAATCTTGGTTTTACCATAGTAATTCCCATACAAACATCAAATGGTTTGTGCCATCTCAGTTGCTCGCCAAATGGGTTCAAATTTTGAGAAGTTAGTCAGGATCCGATTTGAAATCGTTCAAGTATTGTGGAGCGAAAATTTCAATGTCTATGCATGGGGATGGGCATCTAAACCTCTCAAAACTTATGCCCCCTATGACTGCAAATGATATCGCCGATGCTGATAATTTGCCAAGGCAATGTAGTGATCAAACTCACGGATGCTCTATCAAACCAGTTTTGTTTCATCGTTCAGCCAAAAAGCGAAGAAACAGAATATTGAATCAGAAGGGTAGGTAGATCGTCCCTGGTCAAACCAAAAACAGTACGAAGCTCGTCGTCCGTTGGTACTGACGTGTATGGCGACTGAATATGGCTTCGCTTATGTTGTTTAGTCTACTAGCAGTCGCCTCGCTGTTGTCAGTATCAGTCAAAGGCCAAACAGGCAAGTATTTCACTCATTCGACCCCGGTGGATTATTATCAGAGAGAGTCACTATATGGTTAGTGTTGCAGTATCAAACTATGCAGCAGATGAAACTGAAGATTTTGTTTTCGCAGATTGCCCTTTGAGATTTTATCCTAACCCAGAAAGATTTATAAAACTTGACGTACTCGGTGGACAAAGAGCAAGGGTAGGCGAGTTTCAGCACATGGTAAGGAAGCACTTCAGACATGGCTAGGCGTTCCTATTAGGGATTGTTCCGATTGTGGCCATGACTAGTCAACTCATTGCAGGCATCCATCGGTTGGACTACCAACGGGAAAACTGAATACCTGTGTGGAGGAACGCTCATTTCTTCAAAGTTTGTTCTTACGGCTGCTCATTGTGCAGTGAATGGCAACGGGTAAACATCTACGCATTATCTTAATCGCTATGCTTTTGAAAATCCAATCGGACATTAAAACTGCTTTACAGCCAAGCACCCGATACTGTTCGACTAGGTGATACCAATTTGGCGGACGTCGAAGATGACCAGTCTGCTCAGCAGATCAATATTCGTGCCTTTAAGAAGCATCCGCGATACCTACCGAGTCGGAAATACCACGACATTGCAGTAATCGAACTGGAATCAGAGGCCCGTTTCGATAATGCTACTTGTTCTGCTTGTTTGTGGTTGGAGGAAGAAGTTCTTCCAGAAGAAATGGAAGCTATTGGATTCGGTGTCGCAGGATTCAGCGAAAGTCCTAGTCCTACCTTACGGAAGGTAAAACTGTCAGCGATAGATAAGACAAGCTGCGTGGAGCGGCTTCCCATCAGCAGACGGTCACTTCCCGATGGTTTCATCGGTGAACAATTCTGCGCCGGAAATGACCATATGGACACGTGTGAAGTATTGTCGATAGTATAATCAGCAGTCCAACGAACTCAGGAAGAATTAACTTTCAGGGCGATTCAGGTGGTCCAATTCAAACCAAAAAAGTAGACGTCGATGGAACGATAACTCCTCTCGTGGTTGGCATAGTTTCATTTGGAACTCCCTGTACGAATGGATCTCTTGGAGTGTACACGAGAATTGCTTCCTATCGTGAGTGGATAGAACAAGAAATTCAACTGTCTATGGACTACTTAAGTAAGGAACATCATGATCACTATAGTTATGTTTATCATCATAATCGTTTTTTTTTTTTCTTTTTAAATAAGCGTGTACACGAATGTCATCTTGCATGAGCAGGAATAAATCTTACACTAGTAGAATTCAAATCTCGGATGGTCCTATTGTTCGTATTGGTTTACTGTGGAACTCCACCGAAGGCAACAGCTTTCAATGTGGCGCGACGCTAATTGACTATCAGTTTGCCCTGACCTCGGCGTTTTGTGCACGGGAAAAGCGAGGTCAACCGAAGTACATCATCGTAGAATCTACAGGAGAAATGGTCGAAATTGATGGCGTCATCATCCATCCGCAATTCAATCCCGGAAGGCGCGCAAACGACGTAGCTTTGCTCAAATTAGCGAAATATTTAAAAAGTGAGACCGATCTACTGCCGGCTTGTCTTTTGATGGGCGATGAAGAGAGCAGCAAAAGTGACGATCTTTGGCACTATTCAGCGTATAGTACACGGTATGGCAGAGATGAAAACTTCCGGAAAGACAACTACCAACAGTATACCATAATATCCCGACCAATCGACAATTGGGATTGCACAAGCCTGGAGCACAAGCAGGATAATATTACTTGTAGAAAAAATCCCATCAATTTAATCCCAACGGTGTGTAATGTAAGTGAATTATAAACATGATCTGATTTTTGTATTATTACGATGAACACGGAGATCTTTTTCAGATTGACCATGGTGGACCTGTATACACAAAAGGGATCGGCGATCCCATACCATATTTGCATGGCTTGGTTTCCGATTTGAGTGAAGGATGCAGTGGTGACCTGATAGCGATCAGAGTGTCGCCACATATTGAATGGATTGAACGCGTCGTTTTGGAGCATACAAATGAACGATTGGTATTTCAATAAAAGAGTAATTCCATGGAATGAGTAAGGTGACCCGACTATTTTCACATACACTGTTGAATAAAAATCATAGTTAGAAAACTGATGGTTGTATTATGATTTCATTTTAATCTAGATGTTCCAGCTTCAACAGTAACTTACCAGCCTTAATTGTTATGATATTCAGTATTTTAAACAGGTTTTCTATACCTGGATGTTAGTATAACAATTGTCATCTTGATGCATACTAAAAACAAAAACTTATTCTCATCTAAACATAAAGGAAATTAATCGTTGAAAATTAGGATTTCATCGATTTTTGCCTGAAATTTGGCAAATCAGAGAGGTCCGAAGTGAACATATGTTATACAATATAGGCCCAAGAATGCTACCCTGAGGAACACCTGCTCTAACAGGTAGTCGTTCAGATTTGGAATTTTGATAATTTACTTGCAGAGTTCTGCCAGTTAAGGTTCTACAAAGGGTCATTATTTTGTTTACTTCTTCTTTTTGAAATATTCTTCGATCATCATTTACTAAATGTATTGGTAAAATTCATTGGAAGTGCATGTCCCCACGCCAAAACTGCCCATTTTTCATAAATATCAACTGGTATGGTGAGGAAAACTTAACCATCTCTTTTCTTCCTTCATTTCAATACAACAGCAAATATGATGTCACACTATCTAGTGAATAAGAATGTAGCAGACAAAACTTTCGCACTGCCAGACTGCGCTGTTTGCAAGTTTGTTTACACCCCTGAGCGGGAAAGTGTATACCAGGCTACGTGCACTGCTGCCATCAACCCTGTTAGTGTTGAATTCAATCTTCTGTGACTTTTTTAATTGGACCGGTAAAATGTCTACAATGGTCATTTATGTTTTATTTAATTAGTTTTTGATATTTATCCACCATTAAATACATCCACTCATCTATGTTAATGAGGCAGACTTCGCAATTAATTGTTTCAATAAACTTAAATTCATTGCTAGTGGCAATACATCTGGCACCGCTGTTTCAATGATACTTTCATGATTGCTAGCAAAGCAATAAAGTAGAAATGGTTTTCTTTGTGATAAATTTTGTTCACCAAGAGTTTTGTGAAGCAGTCGTTTTGAGTTTCGTGTATTCGATTGCATTTAATTGTGCTATACTTCGAAGAATACAAGTATGTAAATACAGTGAATGTGTTTTACCCAGGAAATTTTCGATCTAAGATCACGAAATACATGTTTTAAATTTTCGTATTCATAATATATGAATGTATGTGTGAACTAATGATGATGAAGTGCAAGTAGCATATGAGATTTGACCTAATAGGGACCAACATGGAATATCTCGCTATCCTAGACAGGCCCGTAGCCAGCATTTGGTTTCGGGGGGAGCTAATTTTATGACATAAAAACTTCAATGATTTATAAAATGTGCGCATAACTGAACATCGAATGATACACTGTTTTTTTTACCTTAACCAAAATCGTTCAAAATCATGCGTCATCATTTTTTTTTTGTTAATTCGTTTTAATCTTTGATCGGAATTTTTAATGAACCATCAGAATGTAAAATAATAATTTTTCAAACTCTTTAATACGCAGAAAGAGAAAAGTTAAACAAATGTATGTGATGAAACATAATGTGAAGTTTTTGGTAGCGAGCCCATACAGCACCGCATTTTCGCCCGTTCAGGCGAAATTATCTAGTTATACTGGCAACCTTATGTCTTCGGTTACTTGTATTCGGGTTTTTCGTCATGATCATCATTTCCTCCCATCATCATTTGTTTAGATCAGTCAGTCATCAGTAGTAGCTCGAAGTGAATAAACCTAAAATTTAAACTAAATATTTCTGTAGTTAAATAAAGGATTTTTCTGGAGAAGTAAAAGGTGTGGAAGAACTCTTGTTTGATCAATTTTGTGCAATCCAAAAATTGCAAGTGTGTGTATCGCTCTGGTCGTCTTGTCAGTGACATTCGGAGTACTGGCATCTCTGATATTCTGAAGTGCATCGTATGCACTTTCTTCTCTGTGCGCACACTGGGCCGTGCTGTGGCCACAATTAGAAAAGTGAGACACAACGTAGGAGTAAGTTTGAACAGTATGAAATTCAAGAAAATATTTGTAGTTTTGTTTGTTTTCTGTTGGTAATGATGATCAAGACTTGCATTCTGTTAAGAAAGACAAAAATATGTTACATATTTTTTGAAAACATAATTATTTTAAGATTTTAATGGTGTTGAATCGTAAAATCACCAGCACCGGATTCTTATTCATTTAAATTTATGAAGGCTGTAAAAACAAACATCCCTCGATGCAGTGGTAGCAATGTGATTCACACGAAACACGAACAGCGAATATTGTTGCCTTCATCATTCTGTATGTTTTTAAGTTTTTGTTTTAGCATCACTGTATTTTTGTTTTGTTTTTGAATTGATCGTTATTCTGTGATATTTTGTATTGTTCCAGTTAGCATATAAGTGCAAATATTTAATGCAATTAGATTAAGTTTGAATTTGACTTCCGATCAGGGTGCTGCCTGAAGGAGGTAATAAAAAGTGAATGAGAAATGTATTCTTTTGCTTCATTTGAATCAGTTGCCGATCTCCAAACTGCTGTCCAAAAATCTGAGCAACAAATTAAACACAACGTAGAGCCATATCCTGGACATTAAACCTGGTTATTACAAAAGTAATTTTCTAGCTTTACTCTAAGCAGTTAATTGATATTATAGCCAAGCCCGAAAGTCGCTGGTATCCCATTAGTTTTAATTCGTTTCAGTGTGGAGAAAGATCTTTCCACACTGGCTGTAGTGACCGGGAGTGTCACCAAAATCTTCAACAAAACATTGATTGTTGGAAAATACGTCGAGTCACATTTATCAAGCAGCCCAAATGTCTCAAAATTCTTGTTAATATTTATGGATGTCCGGCACCAGAGCTCGTATTCCACCTTTACCTGCAACCAGCCAGTGATGCAAAATATCATGACACTCACGTGACACTCGTCTTCGCATCAACCGACTATCGCTGACAGATCGTTTTGTCACGCTCTGAGAGTTAGAGCTATGGCAAACAACAATCACCAGTAATGGTCGCTGCTCACACGCAAAACGTTACATTCGCTGCTGATGATGAAAAGCACAACGAAAACAGTGAAGAATCCTGCAGTACGATGATTAGAAAAAGCGATGCGACAGAAGAAAATGAAAACAATGCCTACGCATTCCAAGTTCGTCTCGGCAGGTGCGACTGTGTGAGTTACAAACAAAGCAGGCAACATGAAACGGAAGCTGTTGGGCTCACTCACCAACACACTCAAATAAGCAAGCAAAGCAGCAACTGCTTCAAAACGAGCACAGATGAGTGTCGTGATTGTCGGGAATGACCAGATCGGTGATGGATCACAACAGAAGACGACATTCAAGTACTTCTTTCGTCAACTTGATGGATGGTCAGCTTCGACGAGCACATTGATAGGAATGTACAAAGCGTTACTACCATCAACTGTTTGGCGATCGTGATTGTGATAGGTCGCAACTCTGGCAACCACGCTGGTGAAATCACAGGGATAACAGTTAAGTTTGTCAAGTTGGGATGACTCTCCAATATCTGTAAAACCAGGCAACAATATTTGGAACACCGGAAGGATGTCATCATTTTTTTTTAAACGTCTCATCATGTTTTGGATCAATCCATGGAGTCATGGAATGAAAACTGTTCTTCGATAGTATTCCTCTGGTGTTTCTACTGGTTGATTTGCACGTATTGTTAGCTAGGATGCACATGGATGCAGTCGTAACTGCGCATTCGAAAACAGACATATGACGGATTTCACGCCAACTCATCCAGTGGTTGGCAGCACCCTCTCAGAACCTTATGGAACTTTGTGGGTGTGGAGACTTAGCAATTTTAAGCAACTTTGCGTACTTATTTTTTTCAAAATTTATCTCGCCTAACATTTGATAAGGGTCAAAGTTTTTTGTCGATTTTTTTTTCAAATCGATATAGCTTAAAAATGACAAGCCCTACAAAAAAGTGATGTATGGCGAACTTTTAGCAAATAATCTGAAATTTAATAAAAAAATTTAAATAAAATAAAAAATTGGTTTCTACACTCTAAAAAAATATATTTAAAAATTAAAAGTCATTTTCCCAAAAATGGTACCCCTCAGATTTGCTTGATATTTTTTCTCATGAAAGGCAATATAATTACCTAACTTTTCTTCATACATCGTAAAGTGGGCGCTTTTAAGGAAAAAAAAGTTGTTCGAACAACAACTTTTTCATGTTAATTTTTTTTTAGCGTGTTTCACTCAAAGTCGAATACGCGCACAACCTTATTAAAATTCGATTAAACTTTATGGGTATACTTTTCGATAATCTGGGCGAAATCTAGCCTAACATTTGAAAAGGGTACAGAGAAGTTACCTGCAAATCGTCCAATAAGAGTTCAGAACAAAACGTTCTAATGAGGAACAGCCATCTCAGCATGGTTTGCACTTTCCTGTGATGGATTGTATTATAATATATGCATACACTCTATCCAACTTCTATAAAACCACCCTCAAATTGTTCCAAATCAACAGGTAAACTAAGTAAAAATCACTTAGTATGTTTTATTCATGAAAAGATTTCAATTCATGTATTTGTGATTAATTTAATTAGAAAAATAATCATTCATTTATTTTTATGTATTAGGTGTGTCCATTAGTAAGCAATATGCATATATGTTTATACCTCATCTCTCAAGTGAATACATATAATAGCGCAGGTAACTTAACGATTATTTAAGGCATGCCTAAAATAATCGTTAAGTTACCTGCTATATAGCAGTTATATAACAACGCAGGTAGTCACATGAGAGATATAAGGTATAAACTTAAAGCACCGCAGTCTGTTTCTACCGACATAATCTAATATTTAAGTTTGGTGATATCACAACAATGCTCATAGTTGCTGTAGTGCATAGTTGTTGAAAGTGTAGTGCTGCATAGTTGTTGAAACGAAAAAGTGTTTATATATACAACAATGGAAAAATCTGCTGAAT